CTCTCTATCTCTCTCTCTTTTTTTTTTCTTTATTTCTCTCTGTTTGAATTACTGCAGCCAAGCAGCCCTTGGCCATTTCTCCCTCTTTCTCTCTCTGTGGTTGCATTATGCCTAAGAAAAAGTGACACGCTGGTAATTATGTCATGCTATATTGATGCCACAGCTGACATCATTCAGCTTGAGCCTGAGTTTCATTACTTTGCCATAAGCACAAAACCCTCCTATTGAACATAAGTTCATTCGCATATGGGGATTTTTTTGGCTGATGATTATCACAGAACTGTAAAGCAGCGCTCTCATTATGACTGTTTTATGCACACACACGCATAAATGGCCACGTTGGTGTGCGCAGAGCTTCGAGTCTTGTTAATGATAATTGATAGAAGTGCATGTTTAATGTTTGGTTGGGGTTTAAGTAACATTTATAGCACAGTCTGGTGCTAGTTTAGGCTTTTAGAAATGGTCAAATATGGAAGTAATTAGTCAGACCAAATGAATGCCGCACTAAACGGTTAAGGGACTGCGGTTCACAACATGCCTGGGAGGTACATCTGTGTGTGTTGTTGTTGTTGAAATCTTACCATTGAAAGTGAAAATAGTCAACAAAACATAATTGGATAAATGATGACTGCACTAGGGGCTTCGGCAAAAGTTGGAAACAATGGAGGACTGTGGATGCAATAGAAAGCTCTGTACACAATTAACTGAAATATCATAGGGAGTTGTTTTTTTTAATATAAATCTGGAATTTACATTTTCTCTTTTGGTTAACAACAACGAATGGGAAAAAACGCATTTTAATAAATGCGTCAATAAAGAAAAGAGCCAGGATGATTCATTTCCCCTATCTACTCGAATTGAACTGCAGACATGGCTTTTGATTGTCAGAAATAGATTTTGAGTAAACACATGAATAACTTGTTTTTTGCTCTTCTCTCCCAGGATGAATTCCATCCGTTCATCGAGGCGCTGCTGCCACATGTGCGTGCCTTCGCCTACACCTGGTTCAACCTGCAGGCCCGTAAGCGCAAGTATTTCAAAAAGCACGAGAAGCGGATGACCAAGGATGAAGAGCGTGCCGTCAAGGATGAGCTCTTGGGCGAGAAACCCGAGGTCAAACAGAAGTGGGCGTCGCGCCTCCTTGCCAAGCTCCGCAAAGATATCCGGCCTGAGTGTCGGGAGGACTTTGTGCTGTCCATCACGGGGAAGAAACCTCCAAGTTGCGTCCTCTCGAACCCAGACCAGAAGGGGAAGATGAGGCGTATTGATTGTCTGCGGCAGGCGGATAAAGTCTGGCGTCTGGACCTGGTGATGGTGATTCTGTTCAAGGGCATCCCGCTGGAGAGCACGGACGGGGAGCGGCTGGTCAAAGGTGGCCTGTGCTCCAATCCCATCCTCTGCGTCCAGCCTCATCACATCACTGTGTCCGTCAAAGAGCTGGACCTCTACCTCGCCTACTTTGTGCAGGAGAGAGGTGAGTTTACACAGTTGCTATGCTAACAAAGCTTTTGCGCATGTGAACGAATTCTCACCCATTCGGTACAGAGGGAGCGGATTATTCTCGGAACTACGCTGTTGCTGAACGGACTGCAGTTCGCAACGTGCCTGGGAGGTACATCTGTGTGTGTTGTTGTTGTTGAAATCTTACCATTGAAAGTGAAAATAGTCAACAAAACATAATTGGATAAATGATGACTGCACTAGGGGCTTCGGCAAAAGTTGGAAACAATGGAGGACTGTGGATGCAATAGAAAGCTCTGTACACAATTAACTGAAATATCATAGGGAGTTGTTTTTTTTAATATAAATCTGGAATTTACATTTTCTCTTTTGGTTAACAACAACGAATGGGAAAAAACGCATTTTAATAAATGCGTCAATAAAGAAAAGAGCCAGGATGATTCATTTCCCCTATCTACTCGAATTGAACTGCAGACATGGCTTTTGATTGTCAGAAATAGATTTTGAGTAAACACATGAATAACGTCTTTTTTTTTCCTTTCGCAGGATGAATTCCATCCGTTCATCGAGGCGCTGCTGCCGCACGTGCGTGCCTTCGCCTACACCTGGTTCAACCTGCAGGCCCGTAAGCGCAAGTATTTCAAAAAGCACGAGAAGCGGATGACCAAGGATGAAGAGCGTGCCGTCAAGGATGAGCTCTTGGGCGAGAAACCCGAGGTCAAACAGAAGTGGGCGTCGCGCCTCCTTGCCAAGCTCCGCAAAGATATCCGGCCTGAGTGTCGGGAGGACTTTGTGCTGTCCATCACGGGGAAGAAACCTCCAAGTTGCGTCCTCTCGAACCCAGACCAGAAGGGGAAGATGAGGCGTATTGATTGTCTGCGGCAGGCGGATAAAGTCTGGCGTCTGGACCTGGTGATGGTGATTCTGTTCAAGGGCATCCCGCTGGAGAGCACGGACGGGGAGCGGCTGGTCAAAGGTGGCCTGTGCTCCAATCCCATCCTCTGCGTCCAGCCTCATCACATCACTGTGTCCGTCAAAGAGCTGGACCTCTACCTCGCCTACTTTGTGCAGGAGAGAGGTGAGTTTACACAGTTGCTATGCTAACAAAGCTTTTGCGCATGTGAACGAATTCTCACCCATTCGGTACAGAGGGAGCGGATTATTCTCGGAACTACGCTGTTGCTGAACCGTAATGGCAGTACTGGGAAGTCGCGCTGTGCAAAGGTACAGAGAAACCTATGCTTGTGGAGTGGCAGTTTGGCGTGTGGAGTAAAAAGATGCTCTAGCTCATTCTTCTGAGAAAGCTGTTGACTCATCATCCTGTGCTGTTGGTACCAGGAGCTCCAAATTTTGAGTGCAGCTTTTGCTTGCAGGCCTCAGAATGCAGCGTGAAGCACCACGCTTTTTCAAACCAGAGCCGCACTGTCAGAATCACCGACATTTAGTTGGTTTTAACCAGAGAGACAGGAAGAAAGGGAGTATAAGACATACGCAGAGCCAACACTGTAAATCATTTAAAATAAGTGGGCCTGCTCTGACAGGCGGGTAGATGTGTTTCAATTTACTGGATGTTTGTTGTATAAATGGAGCTATGAAAGCTGTTGGGATACATTCGGGCTGATATACCATTTCACTCTGCATTCATCATTTGTGAACTTGACATTATGCTGTAGTTTCTGCTCAAATTTGGCAGCATTTTACAGGTATTTTCAGGTATTTTGGCAGCATTTTGCAGGTATTTGAAGGACACTCATTAATTTATTAACTTTAACTTTACTTTTGGCTTTTTTTTTTATTTGGCAAGCATGCATCAAATTGATCAAAGTGACAGTATATACTGTACATCTATAATGTTACAAAAATTCTATTTCAAATAAATGCTGTTCTTTTGAACTTTATATTCAGCAAATAATCCTGAAAAAACTGTATCTTAGTTTTCACAAAAATAATTTTCTTTTTCAAAATTCCTAAGGAGAAGCAATGTGTTTTGAGCACTGAATCAGCATATTAGAATGATTTATATATATGTATATATGTGTGTGTGCATTCTATTTAATTTTAGTTTTTCTCATAAATTTAAGTTTAGGCTACAACTTGGCATGCTGTCGATTAGCACAGAACATAATTTTGACTCATTCTTTAGTTTGTAAAAACAAACTAAAATGCATTTACTGTAATATGCTTATGGTTGAAGCCTGAATAAATATTTAAAACATGCAAACTTCACCCACAGGACTTAACATTATGGCCAATAAACCGTAACCATACGTTCATACACGTAGAAAAATAGTCAGACCTCCGAATGATGATTCAGACAATTTAGTAGCCTAAACAACAAACATTTTTACTGCAGATTTCTTAAACTTAACTACAGGTATCACTTGCTCTCCCTGAGTTTCCGTATGAGTCAACGTTATTTTCTGTGGTAATTAACAACATGCTGCAGAAGCAGTAAATATAACTTCATAAAACCGTTTACTCATTCAATTCAGATATGATCCTGTAGAAGTGACACCAAGGATGTGCAGTGCTTATAAAGTTCAGTTGAGTGGTCAATGTGTCAGGATGAAGAAGTGTATGTGTGTGTGTGCTCGTGTATTCAGTACAGCAGCAGTTAGGGTGACTCAGCATACTGAGTATGCGTGAATAGTGCTGTAGCATCTCTCTTAAATCCCCCCCTGCACTACATTGTGTTCCAGACCTTTTATTCAATTAAATCCATCTCAATCCATTCAATCTCAGTGTAGTAGGAATTGTTTATTCTCTTTTTTAACTGCACTCTACATCTCCTCATATACAGAAGAGTCTTAAGTGCACCTTAAATATATGCACCAATCAGGCATGTAAATCGAAACGCTTCAAACAGCAGTTATTTCAGCCCTCAAATTTGATTGGTCGAGCAGCATTGATAAACAATCCAACAACACTGGAACTTTTTACCATTTGTATAACTCCACCTGTGTTTGCAGCATTCCAGACCAGAGTAAAGTACTGCTCAAAAGTTTGTAGTCAGTAAGATTTTTAAAATGTTTTTAAAAAGTCTCTCATGTTCACCAAGGCTGCATTTATTGATCAAAAATACAGTAAAATCAGAGATATTATGAAATATTATTACAATTTAAAATAACTGTTTTCTTTTTTTTAATATATTTTGAAATGTAATTTTATTTCTGTGGTGCAAAGCTGAATTTTCAGCAGCCATTATTTTAGTCTTCAGTGTCACATGATCCTTCAGAAATCATCATATGCTGATTTAATATGAAACATTTCTTGTTATTATCAATCTTGAAGACAGTTGTGCATCCAGCATACAGTTTCTTTCAGGATTCTTTGATGCATTTATTTGAAATATAAATCCTTTGAAACAATTTAAATATCCTTATCACTTTTGATCAATTGAATGCATCCTTGCTGAATAAAAGTATTACTTTCTTTAAAAAAAAATTCTATTCTATTACAACTTTTGAAAAATAGTGTATGTGCAAGGTTTCTCCCACCAGTGACGTGGGAGGAGGAAATGGAACCATTCCACTCAAATATTCTGTTCCACAAAATGTACTTCTTTGGCCTAATTCATGTTTTATTCGTCAACTTTTATTTGTTTATTTGTCTGGTGTATAAAAACTATCACATCAGCATAAGTGCTGTAGAAGGAAATAAATGCTTGCCAAGCATTTGAAAATTATTTTAGTTCACAGCTGCAGCCTGCCTTTTTCTCTCGGTCTTTCGCTCCCTTACTCATTCGTTCTTTCTTATTTCCGCCCCTTTTGTCTCTCCGCCCCCTCAGGCGACCTTCACCCTCAGTTGTCTGGGTCAGACAGGCAGCCCGCATGTCACATGACCTGCCTAATAGCCTACAAACTCCTTGCTTTAAACAGTCCGATAAGGAACTGCGTCTGTTCGCCCTCACTCCTACTAACAGCAGCACCGCAGAGAGAGAAAGAGAGGAAGCGTAAGGAAATTAAAAGGGGGAGTGGCCAAGAAAAAGGCCAGAGTGAAAGAGGGCATACAGTCAGCATTTGCCCTTAAAGACACAGGGCCATCTTTCACTTGCAAGTCATGCTCAAATTCCCTTCATCTCAGTGAAGTTGAACAGGACCGGCAGTGTTTCTGCAGTGGCAGCTGTGTGTTTGTGTGTGCGATGAAACTTTCAGCTCTGTTTCGGTATCTTTGCTAATGGAGCAAAGAGCAGGGTGGGGCGGGGGTCCCGCATGGCGGCCAGATCGAGAAACAGTGGCCATTACTCTTACTGCCCTCCTTCTCTCATTCAACAGGCTATTCGCTTCGCAAACGTTACAACCGCAAGTCTCTCGGGGTGAAATGGCTCCCTCGAAAGATTATCAAATTAATTACATTTTTGAAAGATTAGGCTACCAACCTCATTAGAGCTATGCGATTTATCTAATGTAGCTCTTCGTTTCGGGCCGTATCGGTTTCCATTGGGGTCACATGACCTGACTCGTGCACCAGTCCTCCTCTGATCTTTTTTTATAACTCTCAGTCTCTGAAGCTTTTGCTGGGACAATAAATATTATGCTTGTCAAAACAAACAGGATGGTGGTTTGAGCAAACTGGAGCACACGGCTGGTTTGGTGGCACTGGAGGCGTCCGTGCCTGATATCAAGCCTTGGTGTCCTGCCATCTGAAGTGGCACTAAAACACATCGGCTCTCTTTCCATTTATTTCATATGTGAGAATGCACTGCAAGTCAGCTGAGCAGGAAGATGCAGCAAACACACACGTGCTGGGCACACACGTTCAGTAAACACAGAGGAGCTGGAATGTGCTCCAGTGCTCTGGCAGCGGAAATTTGGGAGGGGTGGGAAAAAGAGGGTCAGCTCAGGTCAAGTTCACAGCGCTGTCAGCCTCCAACAGGGGGAGGTGTTCGGCGTGCTTATCTTCTTAAATAAAGGACCAACAGCCTATTAGCAAAGCAGCACATGCTGGGTTATAACAGTTTTATTCAAGAAAATTACTTTTTTTGTATATACAAAATGTTTTATATGTATGGGGTGCTTGCAATGCTATTGTGTTGAGATATCTTGTAGTCTACAGGTATGTCAGTAATAGTTATTGTTGTAAGTTACATTATAACAATACTGTCAGATATACAGTCCATAAATCTGACAATGTATTGAACATCTGGGATTTATGATTGGATTTAATCCTTGAAATATGCTCATTTTTAGCATTTTGACAAAACAAGCTTTTTAACCAAAAAAAAAAAAAAAAAGGGTTATGCAAAATTAATAAAATATTTTAGATTCTGCACTATTTCTAGGTTACTAATCATATAAGTAAATATGTGACATTGGTCAAGTGAACTCTCTTTGTACAGATGATCATGCTGGAGAACATGATCAAAAAGTTTTTAACTTCTGGAGTTCATGCAGCTCTTGTGCTGCTGTCAATAAAGCAAAAGAGGTACAAACCAAATAATAATACATTCTGATTTTCTTCATATTTTCTCCTGAAAATGTTTATTTAGAAAATTAACATGGAGCAAAGAGCATTTCCACTAGTGCTCTCAGACTTTTGGATTGCTACATAAAGCAAAGATATCATTATACATTAAGACTGATTGTCAAAGGTGCGATTTCCTGACACGAAACAAGAACTGCTCGCTTGTGGCTGATGCTTGCGGGTCTCAAGAAGAAATATCAAAGTGTTCTAACCCCACAGAACTTTCTTTTCACACTTTACTAGTTCTTTAGGTGTTTCGGTGAAAGACCTGCTATTTACAGTAAATAACTGTTAGCCCGATCCTCTGGCTGCTTTCTGAGCAGTGCTTCCTGAGAGAGAGCACTCTTCCGTCTGAAGGGAGAAATCCTTGGAGTTGGAATATGTCAATATTCAGTAACATAATGGAGCTTTGATTCCTCTATGAGTTCTGTCATATCAGCTTTTGACAATGTTATCTTTGCAAAGATAAACACTTCCTCTGATGCATGAAGCTCCTATTTGATGTCATTGTAGCTTATATTAAAAGCAATATGCCATTTATAAATCATGATGATAATGCAATGGTGTTTGCTCTTTACAGTACCGTTTAAAGTTCATGGTACAGTTGTGTACAGT